GCCTGGGTTGTAGGCTCGATCTATAGTAGGGAGCATGCAGAAGGCAGCTGACAGATGATTCTTTCGCTTCACTGATGTTTCTATCTCTCTATCCTCTCCCTTCCTCTCCAAAATCAATAAAAAAAAAATACATTTTAAAAAGTAAAATAAAAAATTAATCATTCTGGGGGTTTTCCTTATGCTTCAGACCATTTGGGACACTGTAAAAGGAATAAAATATTTTAAAAGCTGAAAACTTAAAAAAAAAAAAAAAAAAAAAAATGGCCGAAACTGGTTTGGCTCAGTGGATAGAGCGTCAATCCAGGTTTGATTCCAGTCAAGGGCATGCACTTGGTTGTGGGCACATCCCCAGTAGAGGGTGTGCAGGAGGCAGCTGATCAATGTTTCTCTCTCATCGATGTTCTAACTCTCTATATTTCTCTCTTCCTCTCTGTAAAAAAATCAATGAAATATATTTTTTTTAAAAGGAGTATTCTTGCCAAAACCGGTTTGGCTCAGTGGCAGAGCGTCAGTCTGCGGACTGAAGGGTCCCAGGTTCAATTCTGGTCAGGGGCATGTACATTGGTTGCGGGCACATCCCCAGTAGGGGGCATGCAAGAGGCAGCTGGTCAATGTTCCTCTCTCATCGACGTTTCTAGCTCTCTACATCTCTCCCTTCCTCTCTGTAAAATATCAATAAAATATATATATTTTTTAAAAAGGAGTATTCTTGTTAGTTTCAATCTTTCTGAAAAGTCAGAACAAAGGAAGAGGACAGGATGTATTAGTATGTTATAAGAAGACACTGAGGATAGATAGTGCTATATGAATCATCCTGTAAGCCAGGATGAAAAGGAACACTCCAATTGGAACTCTAACAACTGTAAATGTGCACCATACCCAACAGCTTAAGTTTCATTTCTCACTGGGATGTAACAATCACTTAATGCCTCCTCCATCCCACTTAAAGATAAATACCTTGTTACTTGATCTAAATATTCTATCATAAGTCAAATTACTTTCAGACATTTTCAGAAGAAAATGAAAATAATCAAATGACCATTCTTGAAAATGTACCTAGCTCTTTTGACTACTCACTATCTTTGGATGTATGTGTATACATTCACATTTACCCCCTAATTACAGCACCCCCTACAGTCTACCAGTGGACTCTATTAGTATATTGAGCCAGTGCATTACTTCTGTTCCTTTGTTTACGGAAATCTTACTGACCTCCCCAGTCCTGCGTCAGAGCTTGGCACAGAATAGTGCTCAAAAAACGTGCTAAATAAATTTAAATATGTTGATGTGAAGTCAATAAATTACAACAGGAATACAGAGATGCCCTACCATCTCTCCCTTCCTAACTATAGTCTTCTGAGCTGACCTGCAGGAATTGCAAATATAGTTCAACTTCTGCTGCTTTGTTACTAATGAATAACAAAGAGCATTCTGGAGTTATTTGATTGTGAGGCTGATGTTAGGGTCTGAATACTGAGGCTGGAGGTGCTGGGCAGTGAGCTGGGGTGTTAAGTGGAGATCAGATGACGCTGAATTCTTACGAAGTTTAGAGTCTGTCCTATTTTAAAGTATTTTAGGCAGGAGAGTAACATGGTCAGATTTTCTTTTTAGATAAATGGCTCTGCAGGTGGATATAAAGGTGGAGGATGGGCTAAGTCTGGAGAAGTGCGAGATAACGGTGGAAGTAGAACATTAGTATAGTAGGGGCAAACATCCTGTTGTGAGCTTTTTCTAATAGGATGCAATATAGGCAATGTAATCTCAACATGTCTAAATCAAAACTCTTCATTCCCCCTAAACTGACCCACTCTGTTTCTGGAAATTATAGAACTGCTCAGTAGTTAAAGCCAGAAACTTTCAAGCCATCCTTAATGTCTGTTATTTTCCTCATCTCCTATATCCAACTATGTCTAGCTATCTCCCAAACCCATTCATTTTTTCCACTATATCCTACTCCACCATCATTTTTGCTTTGGGCTAGTGAACAAACTCCTAACTGATGTTGCATGTCAACTTTGACCCCTGAAATCCATTCTCCTCATTGCTTTCAAAGCAATCCTTCTAACATACAAAGGAATAAGTCACCATCTTGCTCAAACCCCCCAGGGGCTTCTTCCTGTTCTTAGGGTAAAGTCCACAGATCTTAACAAGGCTTATAAGATCCTATTATCTGGCTGCCTAAAGCAATAAGAATTCCTAACATTACTGAGCATTTCTTAAATGTAGGCACTTTGCTATGCTTTGCGAGCATTATTTCATTTTTTTCTCATTGTGAAGCAGATTTATTAGCATTATTCTCATTTTGCAGATAAGAAAACTGAGTCAAGGAGAGATTACATATGTAAGTTTGTGCTCAAGTTTTCACACTTTCAACAAACTGTATGCCCCTACTACAAGGCATTACTTTTGATTCCTAGAACTTATCTGCTCTTTCTTGTCATGAGTCACAGACACGTATTAATCCTTATGGCCCCCTCAAAAATCTCATTTTTTGCAAGGATAATTTTTATTCATTCATCAAATCTCTGCTTATATATCATCTCTTCAGGTAAGTCTTCCCTTCCTATCTAAAATTACATTAATTGTTTACTTCTTTATGGTCTGTCTCCCTTCAGTAGAATGTCAAAATTGTTGATCACTAGTTCTCAGCTCTTAGAATGACATTCACCTGGGGTTCCATCACCACTGGTTGAACGAAGGCATGATTGAATGATGTGGGGAGGGAAACTCCCTACTGCGGTAATTTCATCTATTCAAACTAATAAGAAACAAAAGAAGTAAAATATAAATTTGTTCATCTACTAGATATTTATTTAGTAGCTTCCAGGTCCCAGCCAATACTCTTAAAAACTTACAGCCCTCCTAAGGGAGGCAGACACATAAACATGATTATAACACAATTTATGTGCCTGTTAAAATTGTGGCAGGAATAAAGTGCAATAGATGCAGAGATGAAAAAAGAATCTAAATCTATGGGAAACCTTTACAGTTGAAGAGAGTCTTGAATCATTTTGCAAGATGAATGAGTCTTGAAATATACTATATCATATAGTCTATGTATTTCACTTATGAAAGGAGGAAAATCAACTACAATGACATCATATTTAATTCTCACAATAGCTCTATTTTATTATTCCCACTTTACAGGTGTGGAAATCCAAGCTAAAACAAGTCCAGTGACTTATTTGTCCAAAATTATGTAGTACATTAATAAAAGATAATAATTCGCCCAAGCTTGTTTGGCTTAGTCATGCCTTGGCCTGAGTACTGCATATGCCCAGGTTGCAGGTTCCATCCCCAGTAAGGGGAGGGGGGGTGCAGGAGGCAGCCAATCAATGATTCTCATCATTGATATTTCTCTCTCCCTTTCCCTTCCTCTTTGAAATCAACAAAAATATATTTTAACAATAAACAAACAAGTAAAAGAGATAATTTGAGCCTACTCTGTCATCTGACTCCAGTACCCATTTACTTACTATATTATAATGCTTTGACCCTGTATTCCCGAGGCCAATTACTTATTTTCACTATATCTCTATTTTCTTTCTTAAATTTTTTATTGATTATATTTTCACTCTAACTCTTAACCAAATTGATTATGTGGTTTACCATTTTAACATAAAATAAGCAGCAAAATGAAAGATTAAAGAAGAAACCAAATGAAGTATACCTACAATAAACAACGGAACTGAACACAAAAATTCAAAAACAATGAATCATATAGTCTTCTACAAGCCATCTTTAGCTATGCAACAGTAACTGATGTGCACAATGATAACCCCATTACAAAAAAAAAAAAAAAAAAAAGAAAGAAAGAAAGAAAGAAAGAAAGAAAGAAAGAAAGAAAAAAAAAAAGAAAAAGAAAAAGAAAAAGCAGTCTAAGGTAGAAATAACTTTTGATGCTTTAAAGGGTAAATAGAAAATTCCTCTCTGGTAACTCTGGATAAAGGAGTTATAATGATTATTTTCAAAGTAATTTTAAAAAGAAATATCCTAAGATTGTGAAGTCTTCATTTTTCTATTGCTTTAAACTAAATTCAAGACAGAACAGAAAAACTGTTTATCTTAATTTCCATGCATACACAAGTTAATTATAAATTTTAAAAACTTCTCACACTATGACTTTTAACAACACATACTTTGAACAAGTATAGAGGGCTACTGAGCATTCTTAATATTTAAAAACAACCTCTCTTAAAAAAAGAACCCTTTCAATAAATCTTCAATAAAATTGGATAAATTGGTTATGTACAAAACAGGAGGAAAACTATAATATGTTTAACCTGTTGCACTCACAACTTAAATGAGTGCACATGTGAAAATGAAAAGAAACAAACAACTTAAGCAAACACAGAGAAAGCTGGTTGAGTAATTTACCATAAAAGTGTTTCTGCCATACATTCCACCTGGGTCCAAATTTTAAATCTGAAGATGTCAGCTTTTATAACAACAGAAGCTTTTATTTTATGTAATTCTTAAAAGATTGCATTTAGAGAACAGACCCTGGATTTTTTGCTTTGTTTTATAAGAACAAAAGAAAGTTGTTTCACCAATTATCTTGAACAAGCTGACAAAGAAACATTGAATGTTCTTTATCATTTTAGAGAGTGCTAAATGTGAACCTTTCCACACAGAACAGTTTGCAACAATGTGAAAAGCATACTGGCTACATTTCCCAACAACATGTAAAAGTAAATAAAAGGAAGGGTCTTAACTTGCAAGTAACTGTAATTTTTCACAGGAAGAATGGAGCTTCTGCTGAAACATTCCAGAAAGACAATATTTGTTTACTCATATTTAAAAATTGCTTTTTTCTTAGTTCATCTTGTTCAATTTTGGCCCCCAATTCAATGTTTTATATAACATTCTAATTTTAAAATGTAGCATGAACTCATAATGAGTTTCATACAACAACCTATTAAAAGTAAACACAAAGCGAACTTAAGTGCAAGTAAAAATGTCACTCTATAGACCGTTGTAATTACAATGCTCTTCCTTACCTGGACGCTCTTCAAAATTAACTCGCTTTTCTCTCTTACATCTTTGAAGGGACACCTCTTGGAAAGCATAAGCAGATGAGCAAGCAGCTTATTCAACCCATCCAAAGAGCCAGCGTCTGAAAGCCCGTCCGATGGGCGATAAGGTGTCTCTTTCACCGAACGGAGATACTCAGTTTTTCTCAAAACGATCTGCCTGATTGTCTCCAGCGCCGTCTCTCTCGTAGTTGAATCTCTACTGCACAGCCCATCCCACCTCACTTCATTCTCTCCTTCAGCCATGACAATGGGAGATGTTTCTCTTTGCCGTCTTCAGTTACCGCTCAGCATGTCCCCAAAAGCACTTTGTAGTTTTTTAAACGAGAAATGTTAAGAACAGTGTCAGAGAAATCGAATCTTCATGAAAACATGCGTCCGGGGGGCATGTGGGACCAGAGTGTCTCTTCTAGGCGGATGGCTTTCCAGCGAACTGCCAGGCAGAGGAGCTCACGCTCTCTCCGCTCCTACAGGAAGGGGCGGCAGTCTTTTCGGATCAGCCTCGAAAACCCGAGTTGGAAAGTGCAAACCTCGCAGCGCTGGCTTTGCTGGACTCGGGGAAGCGGATATTCTTGCGGGGTCAGCGGACCTTCTCACGCGGCGGAGCTGTCAAATCCGTGCTCTGCCCAAAAAGGCTGGTCCCAGCGGAGCGCCCTCCAGCCAGCCATTCGGGGTTTGGTCTCTGCAGCCACCGGGCTCCCGGGAGCGCCCCCGCCCCGCCCTCCTCCGCTCAGGCCCCGCCCTCCCCGCGCCTCGGCAGCCGCCCGGCGCTGGCTGCACGCCGGCAGGCAAGGCTGGCCGACGCCTGGTTCGCTCGCTGCTGCTGCGGCCGAAAGTTCCAGGCGCTCCCGGGGGGCGGCGGGCGGCTGCAGCCTCCAGCTGAGTCGCGGTCTCGGCAGCGACGTCGAAGGAAAGCGTCTCCCGCCCCGTCGCGGCCGGGCCCTTGGCCTCGGGCAGATGCCGTTGGTTTCCCCGAGGTCCGCGTCCTCGCCCACCGCCCGCTACTCCCGACGGGCGCCCGGCTGCCCTGCAATCCCCGAACGCGGGGCTGCGCCGCGGAGCTGGCGGAGGCGCTGGGCCCGAGGCGCAGAGCCCGCCCCTTCGCCCAGCCCCATCGGTGGGGCTCGCCCCAGAGGGCGGGCGCGGGGAGGGGAGATGGGGTCCTCACCCCCAGTCCCTCCCCTTTCTCCGCCCGGCACAAACCAGGAGCCCGGGAGCCGTCCCTGCCCTAGCGCCCTCTTCCCCGCCCAGGCAGACGCGACCCGCGGAGGCAAAGCCATTGGGAAAAAAAAGCCCCGCCCTCCGCGGGCTACCTCCGGACCCTCGTCCGCGCGCCGCCGCCGCCAACGGCCGCCCGCTGCTGCGCATGCGTGCTGGCGAACGGGGCGCATGCGTCTTAAACGGCGCTTGGCCTGCCGCAGGGGGGCGTTCTCGTGTATCTGGACGTTTGGGGTCTGCGGACCGGACCAAAAACAAAAGTCAGGAAGTGTTGAAGTTCTGTTAACTTACACAAGCGCAGGAAAGGGAAAGATGCATTTCTGGAAGAAACTTAATCTCATGTTAAGGTTAGCCTACAAAAAATTGTGACGGTCTCTTTAATTACGCCAACCCTTTTATTTAAGGAGCTAGGGCGTCGTTCCGTGGACTTCTGGGAAATGTAGTTTTGATGCTGCCGGCGCGTTCTGTTTGCGACGGAAACTACAGCCCCCCTGAGCCGCTACAATGTTTCCTGTGCCGGCCTGCGAGTCAACGGTTAGCATACCCCAGGTTGACTGAGAGATCGGCTTGGTGAGAGAACTCTAGCATGGCTGCCACTGTTCGCTCCACGGGATTTTTCCTTTTTCCTTCCCCCATTTCCTCTGAGGTTTTGGAGACGAAGCCATCTGGGGCTGGTCCAGGGACTTTTTCTGCGTGAAATAGACTAGACCGGGTGCCCAAATCCGAGGGCGCGGGAAGGCGCAGATGTGGGAAAGGTGGCGATCCTAGGGGATCGCATTAGTTCAGGCCGGAGGGATGCTCTGCACGGCCGCTCGTTTGGATTCGCGCGGAGTGCATTAGGGAATCCCTGTGCAGTTAGTTGCACCTTTGATACGGCCTCGGGGTGCCCTGTGCTTTGTTTGCTCAGCCAAGTGGCCTCCCAAGCAGGGCTTTGAAAGCGGGTTGTCCAATCCATGTTGTATGAGGCTAAGGGGCAAAGCATGCCCAGTATTCCTTGATAGGAACTTTTGCAGGATTAAAGGATACTTTGTGGAAAAAAAAATTAAACTATTCACATTGTAGTATAGTGAAAGGATTCAACCATTTGTTTACAAAGTACTGTTGTTTTTAAGTAATTCCTTTTTAAAATGTTTCTTGATTGATTGAGTTTAGAGAGGGAGAGAAACATCGCTTTGTTGTTCCACTTATTTATGCATTCATTGGTTGGTTTTTGTTTGTGCCCTGAGGGGTCCAATCCACATCCTTGGCCTATGGGATAGTGGTCTCTCTGGGGCTAGGGCTTAAAATAACTACTTTTAGGAAAAGTAGTGAGAAAGGTCTTCCAGTGGACTCATAACCAAATTAGATTCTAATTATTCACGTTGCAGAAAGGATGTGTTTCAAAACATGTCGCCTTTTTTGGGTACTGAGTATGAAAGACACAGCCCCTACCTGTCCGAGAGAAACAGATGGTTAAACATACAGTGATAGTGCTGTATGATATAATTGGGATGGCTACAAAGGTTACTTAGCCCAGTTTAGGCAAGTCAGGGAAAGAGGACCAAACATCCGCAGATGGTGATCCCCAGACGAGAAAGAGGTGGTGTTTTCAGGAGACTGCCTAAGCCAAATCCTAGACTCTGTGGGTGACTTTCTGTGTATTGATTTGCTGTACTTTGAAGCTACAGAGAGACTGGTACTATGAATTTTCCAGATAGATGCTGAAAGTGACCTATTCTTGAGCAGATTTATAGTTTTAAAGAATTGGTCTAATTTGGAAAGCCTTGCTACATGCCCAGCTACTGATTAAATAACAAAATACGGCCATTTTAGATTCTTCATCTAAACTAGACAATTAGAATGCTAATGCATTAAATGGAGTTGTGTCTTATTTAAGTGTTCCATTCAGAAATTGATATATCCAAAATTACTCTTGAAAATCCCTTGGGAAGCCAGTACAGTGGAGTTCAAAGGTTTCATTAGAGAATTAAATTATATCGGTGGCTTGTTTTAAAAGCTCTGTTATCTTTTAAAATATGTATTTTCTCTTTGAATTCTAGAATCACTATGTTTATAAAGAGATGCTCATATGATGAGATGTATCTGAACTTACTATCAACTGAGAAACGAGAAAATTCATATCACCCCTATGATCAATCCAGGTCATCTGCTTATTGCAAATCAGGCAGAATTGTCCATACTGATTATACAGTAAATAGTCATTTTTCTTTTACTGCTGAGCTTATATTATTATAGTTGAATTTGTGACAAGTAAGGGTCAGAAGGATACAGTTCTTTTATTTATGTTAAAATTTCATTTGAACTTTTAATATTTTTGTGATTCAAATAGGAAAGAGTGATGCTATACTATATAATTTCTTTATTCTGTACAGATAATGGATTCTGAATTAATGCATAGTATAGTAGGAAGCTATAGGAAACCTCCAGAAAGAATATTTGCTCCATCATTCACCCAGAATGATGAATTGTCTCGGAATCACCACTCTGTGAACTTTGAAGTTACCTCTCCTAAAAAGCTTCATAGTCCAAATAGCCAAGGTAATATTAATATAAAAATATCACTTGAAAATAGGGGAATGGCACAAAATATGTTATATAAAATGTTTTGTTTTTATGTAAAAACAATATATTGTGTTTTTAACTAGCCTTAAGCTACTAATTTTTTTCTGTTAAAAGTTTCTGTAAACTTACTCAAGTTATTTAACATTTTTTATTTTGGCTTCAGCTGTAAGATGACATACTAGTATATCACAGGTTTATCATAAAAACCTCGTTAGAAAATGGAAAATTCTTTGAAGACTAAAAGGTCAGATTTAGAATCCGTCTGAACTAGATGATTAGAATGCTAGTGAGGTAGGTAGAGTTGTGTCTTATTTTAGGATTAAATTCAGAAATAGCATATATCCAAAATTGCCTGGAAAATTCCTGAGGAACGAGTATATTGGAGTAACTACAAAATACAAGTATTGTAACTTTTAAAATATAAATTCAGAAGGATGTTAAAACTGAATTAGAAAAAGATTTATGACCCCAGACATACCTTGTGTGATTCATATTACTTTCTAAGATGCTGATTATAACTTGTCTTTTAATATTCTTTGGTAAAGGTTGACGTAATAAGGTAGCCTTATGGAGTGGAGTAAAGCACAAGAAATAATACTCCAAACCAATGAGTCAGCCACAGATACCATATAAAGAACAATACTGTAAATATAATTACTTTATCTTAATTTTTTTTTAAAATATATTTTATTGATTTTTTACAGAGAGGAAGGGAGAGAGATAGAGAGCTAAAAACGTCGATGAGAGAGAAACATCGACCAGCTGCCTCTTGCACACCCCCTACCGGGGATGTGCCCGAAACCAAGGTATTATACATGCCCTTGACCAGAATCGAACCCGGGACCTTTCAGTCCGCAGACTGACACTCTACTACTGAGCCAAACCGGTTTCAGCCTTTATCTTAATTTTAAAAAATAAATGATAATCTCTAGCAAACATCTTTCTAATTGGATATAAACTATACAAAAGATAACCTATAACATTTATTTATATTCTATTCATCTCTATAGTTTGAAGTTATAAATGAATAGAAAGTATAAGGTAATATTTGAATATTTTATAACTGAACTTCTCTGAATCATGATGATATTAATATAACTGAAAAAAGTTTTAGTAGTTTATGTGTGCTACTTACAATCTTTCAAGCTTGATATCAGATAAGCCGCTAGGTTATCATTTTTTTCCCAGTGGAAGAAACTATTCTTTATATATCCTTAATATTAACACTATCTTGGACAAATGTATAATATATGTTTGTAGTTTGATTAAAACTGAACACATTAATAACTGAAAAGAACCTTTAAACCTAAATTTTATGTTAGTGGGTACTTTATTTTAATTTTCTTTAGTCATACTCAGATTCGTATACCTCCTAGTCTGTACATTATCTTTAAGTCTTATGTCATTAGCTTTCTCAAACTTAGAAAACTCACTAAATACAATCAAATATATTGTTTTCACAAGATATGTTAAAAAAAATTGTTCCTTTTTAGAATTTTTGTTATTTCCATTTTTATCAGAAATATGTATTATACATTTTTCTGGCTAACAAAAATATACTGGTAACATTTATATGATTGTTAGTGTTCAAATATTCTTATTTATAATATCAAGCAATGTTCTTTCAACAGCTCTTATTTTAGCCTTAAAAACTCTTCAAGAAAAGATTCACCGTTTAGAGTTAGACAGAACTCAAGCTGAAGATAACCTGAACATTCTATCCAGAGAAGCAGCACAGTATAAAAAGGCCTTGGAAGATGAAACAAATGAGAGAAATCTGGTACACCAGGAACTGATAAAGCAGAAAAAAGGTAAGAAAATTCAGTAGTTCTCAGAAGCAAGGAGTTACTAAAGTTTACAATTTGAAAATAATAAGCCCAGTCTAAGCAGATTTACTCAAATATATTCTTTTTTATATGTTCAAACCCTAAAGCCTTGTTCTCAGACATTTTGATATTTGTAGGAAATGAATATAACTTTGAACTTATTTTTATATCTATTTTATCCTGGTTCGTAAGTTTTTGAGATTAAAAGAAAAATTGTATTTAGACAACTTGTGTTTAGAATATCCTCAGAATCCCAACAAAATTCAGTTTAACCTGGACATAGTTGAAATGCTTTATAGCATTAGTTAACACATTTTTAAAATTTGAAAACAACACTAGTAATTAAGCAATATAAAAACAATAAGAATGAATAAAAAATAAAAACTCGAGTGGTTAATTAGATGAAATGGACTGATAGATGGCCGTTCTGTGGAAATTATGAAAAAGACATCTTGACACAGGTCTTAGAGATTTAGAACATTAATTCTTTATATAATTTCACTTCAGAATGTGGCTTTTTGTAACAACCCTCAAAAACAGGGTTCAAGTTTGTGTTTCAACTTGTGGAATGAAAAAATGGGGAGAAATATTTTTCTGAGGTAATTGGACAAAAGTGGGAGAAAGAGCTGAGGAAAGTAAGATCTTAAAGGATTAAAAAGAAGTTGTTACACTTTAGGTATTTAACTATGCTGTCTGTAGTCAAGAGCAGAGGAAAGTGGGAGTAGTAGGATGCATGTACCTGAGTTTTTTTGAAAGAGGAGAAACGTATTGATAGGAAAGAGACACAGGGGCTTCTCTTTTTCCAGTTAGTGTCATTTCCCAGGGACAGCCAGACTCTCATCATTTCCACATTCACCGGCATCTTCCCCTTTCAGAGGTATGCTCTCTGGGTCCGTAGGCAGAGATAATGGTAAACCACTGACATATAATTAATGAAATATTCACAAAATGTATAACTCTGGGAGAGTCTGTACGTAGAACTAACTAAGTCTTAAACTTTTAACTCTTGCTTGAATTTGTATAGTGTATTTCTTATGGTAACCAAATCTCTGGTCTATGTGGTAATAACTAATAACTCGTAATTACTTTTTCTTTTTCATAGATATAAGTATACAATTAAGCTCAGCTCAGGCTCGCTGTACGCTCCTGGAGAAGCAACTGGAATATACAAAGAGAATGGTTCTCAATGTAGAGCGAGAGAAGAATATGATCCTAGAACAGCAGGTGAACATATTTGTATAAGAAATATAATTTAATATGGTTTTGAAGAATATTTAATGTCTCTATGGTGACAGATGGTACCAGACTTATTGAGGTAATCATTTCATAATGTATACAAAGATGAAATCACTAAGTTGTACACTTGAAACTAATATAACATGGTATGTTAATTATACCTCAGTTAAAAAAGTAAGATGTAAATTAAATGACACAAATTAAATACACAAAAAAAAGATAGATTTGCCCTCAGGAAAAGAGAGAATATTTAATGTGGGAAATTTGTCATATTACATTATAGTCCTAAGTAAAATAGGCTATAAAGCTGTATAAAGGAGATTTCCATTTACAGTGATGCAGACTAGGTCACTTAGACCAACTTTCCTATAAAGGAAAATAAGAAAAACTGTACATAGTATTAAAAAGAAAGAAGAGAAAGAGGAAGAAAAAATACACAAAGGCATTGTAGATTTAGTAAGTTGATAAAGCACCCGTTCAGTATTATCTGTGTGCAGACTTTAATCCAGAGAGGTAGGCCTGATATTTCAGCTCCCTTCTGAGTGCATGTCTGATTCCATAACAGTCCATTAAGTGGCTCAATAATGCTTTTGACAGCCACCCTTTTGGGGTTAAGGAAATTAAAGTTAGAATTCATGGCCTATCAAGAATAAGAACCTTAGTATATCTTCTGTGCTCAATCTTTGTAAGAGTGAACAGTAGAAAAAAACCCAGATTACAACTTTGCTCTAGGTTATCAAAGTAAGTCAGAAAATCTTAGTCCCTGAAATTGTATTAAAGTGATACGCTAATATTCTCACGTACTTCAAATTATTTCTACAAACATTACTTTGACACAGCGAGAAGCTTTCAGAGATAACCGCACAGAAGGAGATAAGACACTAACAAGATATAGCATACTTAATAATCAATCTATAGATACTTTCACAAACTAGCTCCAGTTAGGTACTGGCTCTAAGAGACAGTCTTTAAAATACTTATGCTTGTGCCCTGATCACTGTGGTTTAGTTCATTGTGCTATGCACTGAAGGGTCATGGGTTCGATTCCCAGTATGGGCACATACCTAAGTTGTGGATTCAATCCCTGGTCAGGCTATGTAAGGAAGGCAGCTGATCAAAGTTTCTCTCTCTAAAATCAGTAAAAAACATATCCTCGGGTGGATTTTAAAAGAGCCCAGAAAGATACTACTTCACAGCTACACATTAGAAATAATTTAAAACTCTGACAATTCTGTGTGTAAATGAGAATACAACAACCAGAAGAGCAACCACTTTATCTGGTAAAGTTCAGCATACACATTCCCAACTGCCTAGAAATTCCTATCCTTGCTGTAGTAGACTAGTAACTTATAATAGTTTTATAAAATGTTCTGACATATAATCTACATACAGTGGAAGGTATAGATCTTAAGTACAGAGATCAGTGATTATTGATAAATGAATATACTCATGTAATCCACAGCCCTATAAATAATAAAACATTTTCATCAGAAATTATTTCATCTCTTCAAAGTTATTTTCTGTTCTCTCCTCACCTCCCGATAAGACAATTACTATTCTCACTTATTTTACCTTAGAACTTTATAAGGTCAAATCTTAGAACTTTGTATACTCTTTTGTATCTGGGTTTGTTTGTTTTGCAAAAAGTTTTTGAGATTCATCTATGTTGTTTTATGTATTGGTAGTTCATTTCTTTTTATTGCAGTGTAGAATTTCATTATATAGTTATGCCACAATTTGGTTACCCATTTTCATGTTGATAGACATTTGGTTTGTTTCCAGTTTGGGGTTATTATAAACTAGAGGCCCAGTGCACAAAATTCGTACATGGTTACGGTCCCTAGCGGCTGCCAGTTGTTGGGTGGGGCCTCCCTTCCCCAGCTGCCATTCGAGTCTTCCCTTTGTTCTGCACCCCCCTGCTGGTAGTCAGCACACATCATAGTAAGCGATCAACTCCCGGTCAGCCCAACTCCTGAGGCAACACTTTACACATTAGGCTTTAATATATATAACTAGAGACCTAGTTCATGCAGGGGCGTCCCTCAGCCTAGCCTGTGCCCTCTCACAGTTCCGGTACCCCATGGGGGATGTCCCTTGCCAGCATCCATCTCGCAACATGGGTTCCCTCGTTCCTTACTGCCCTCCTGCTCACTGCTCCGTACTGCTCCACTCACTGCTCCTTAGCACTGCCTCTGAGGTAGGAGGGGCACCTACCACCTTAGCTGCACTCGCCAGCCATGAGCCAGCTTCTGGCTGAGCAGCACTCCCTCTGGGAGCGCACTCACCATCAGAGGCAGCTCCTGCATTGAGTGTCTGCCCCTGATGGCCAGTGAGCATCATAGCGACCGGTCATTCTGTTCATTCCACCGTAATGGTGCTTAGGCTTTTATTGTATAGATAAAGCTGCTATGACCATTCTTATACATATCTTTTCTGTGGACATATGTTTTAATTTCTCTTGGGTAAATATGTAGGAGAATTGCTCCACCACGGGATAGGTATATGTTTAACTTTATAGGAAACTACTAAACTGTCTTCTAGAATATTTTCTATTACCCCTTACCCCCTCACAGTTGCCTTTATTATTAACTTCTTGCATTGTAATAAATCCCATTACAAAACAGTGCATAGATATACATATATATGTATAACTTTCCTTTTCTCCATGTTTTTTGTATGCTTTATTCCTCTGATAACTGCTTTTCTTTGCTACAGAAAAGGTAATTCAGTGAGTAGATTTGGTCACCCTGTGTGCAGCACTATTTAATAAGGTTTCACTGGTGATGTCTTTCTTAGTTTAAGTGTTCTATAAAGATACATAGGCTGAAACCGGTTTGGCTCAGCGGTAGAGCGTCGTTCTGTGGACTGAAAGGTCCCAGGTTCGATTCTGGTCAAGGGCACGTACATTGGTTGCGGGCACATTCCCAGTAGGGGGTATGCAAGAGGCAGCTGGTTTATGTTTCTCTCTCATCGACGTTTCTAGCTCTCTATCTCTCTCCCTTCCTCTTTGTAAAACATCAATAAAATATATTTTAAAAAAAAAGATGCATAAAAGTGTTTGTCCCATTAGTGCTAATATAGCACATCTTTTTTTGCACATTTTATTTCTTCTTTAACAATATTTTATTTTCTTGGCCTTTGATAGTAAGTACTATCATGTATGCATATATGTACATTTTTTTGTTTGTGTTGCTGTTATTGGTTTGTTTAGAGAGAAGAAAAGAGATGTGAGAAAGGAACATTGGTTGGTTGCTTCCCATATGCACCTCAACTGAGAATCAAACCCACCACCTTTTGGTGTTCAGGAAAACACTCCAACCAATTGAGCCACGCTGGCCAGGACTGTTCATGTTTCTTATGACAGATTTATATTGCAC